CTCTCTCTCAGGAGTGGGTGCCCATCATGAGACAGGACCTGCAGACTCAGAGGAAGATGAAGTCCCAGCCGCCCCTCAGCGACGCCTACCTCAGCCTCTCTATCCCCCCTCAATCTCTCTGAACCCCCCTTCAATCTCTCTGAACCCCCCTCCCTCTCTCTCTCTAACCCCCCTCAATCTCTCTGAACCCCCCTCTCTATATCTCTCTAACCCCCCCCCGCTCACCCCCGGTGCTCCAGGGTCTTGATGTTGAACCCCAGGGTGGGCGAGACGGTGCTCACGTCCTCCCCGTTGAACTTCTTCAGGATGGTGGTCTTGCCCGCGTTGTCCAGGCCCCTGGGGGAACGCCTGCGTCAAGGAAACACGCTCCAGCTCCTCTGACGCCCCTGGTCTGTCCCAGGACCCCCCCCGGGCGGACAGACCGACTCCCGCGGGCCAGTATCATCGTCCTGATGAGGACGACGATGACGGCGGGGGTGTTAGTGAAGACCGGGCGGGTGGAGACAGACAGATGTCCACACAGCTGGGGGGAAACCGCGGGTCCATCCGTCCAGGCCCTGACCGCTGTATCCAGGGAGCCGGAGCCTATCCCAGCAGGCAACGGGAGCAAGGCAGGACACCAGTCCATCGTGGGACACCAGTCCATCGCGGGACACCAGTCCATCGCGGGACACACACTCACACCAGGGCCTGTTTTCCCAGAAGCCCACCAGCCCGTCTTTGGGCTGTGGGAGGAAACAGGAGTACCTGGAGGAAGCCCATATGTGTGTGTGTGTGTGTGGTGGTGGGGGGGAACACGCAAACTCCACACAGACAGCACCCCAGGAATCGAACCCTGGGCCCCCTCAGTGCTGAACCGCAGAAGCACGCACGTACAGGAGGACCTGACACACAGAGGGCCAGAGACGGACACGCCAGCACAGCAGATGCGCGACGGGCTTCCGTGTCGCCGAGAGAACCGAAGACCGAGGGAGAAGAGTCGCCCGGTCATCTCTTCCGAAAAATAACTTGCACACAAGGGCAAGCACAGAACGACTGCGTGTGTGTGTGTGCGCGATGATGTCAGGAGAAGACGTTCATTCCAGATGAGCTCTCGAGTACTCAGGGCAACTGCCGCGATTTTCGGGGAACCCCTTAAACAGCTGAGCTATCCAGTGGGGACACCCCCCCTACCCCACAAATCTCCTGACCTCCGCCGGTATTGCAAAGGATACAGCATGAGCAAGCGCATCTCCCTCTCCTTCTGTTTCATCTTCTTCAGGATCGTCAGCAAACCCATTAAGTCAACGAATTGAACACCAGCCCCGGCTCTCTCGGTCTCCCCGCAACGCAACCAGACCAGACCAGGAAGAGGGCGCTCCCCCGGGCCCCGCCCCCACACGGCTCCTATTGGTTGATTCTGAGTCGCGGCCCGCGGGAAGGAGCTCTCTGGTTGGCCCATCAGTCACGTTGACGTCCCCCTCCCTCCCTCCTTCGGCTTCGCTGCGGGAAGAGGGGTGTCCGGGGCGCGAGGAGGTTCTCGTCGGCATTTCTCACAGCGCCGCCGTGCGGGCGCTACAGGAACAGACCACGAATGGCCGTTTAACCTGTAATTGTAGTCCCAGCGCCAAAGGGGAAAAGGACTATTGTCCTACAAAACACAAATTACTTCCCCACGATGTTTTTGCGTTGCATGTGGCGTCACCATGGTCGTACTGTTCGGGGTTCGTTTGTCATACAAAAAAAAACCAAGCCTGGGTTTTTTTTTTTCTTTCAAAACAGACGCTGAAACGCTGTTCAGCTCCGGTCGTCGCTCTATAGAAATTCTATGTCTATAGGAACAAGTAATCTTCCGGGCTGAAAAGAGAAGAAGGAAAACACAACGTTTCGGCCACGGAGCCTTCTTCAGGTGCGAGAAAGATAAGAGAAGATCACTGTATCGGCCCTATACGATTTCTTGCATGAGGAATTTGTCTTTTCGCAGACCCCAGCTTGCTCTCCATGAGACACACAGACAGGGAGAGAGAAGCTGGGGGTCAGAGCACAGGGTCGGCCATTTACACGGCCCCCTGGAGCAGCTGGGGTGAAGGGGCCTCGCTCAGGGGCCCAGCGGAGTAGGATTCCTCTGCCGGCCGCGGGATTCGAACCGGCAACCTCCCAGCCACAGGTGCAGATCCTGAGCCACAGAGAGAACACACTGCCACCACGGAGAGGGCAGTCCAATATACAGTGTGTTCTCTGTATTTGTAGCCCAAATATACTGATGGGGAAAAAGAAACGCACCACCTCCTCCTCCTCCACACTCCGGCCCTCTCGTCTGCGTGGGACAGGCTGAGGAGTGACCCGTCTGCGAGGGGGACCCGAGGCCACTGCTGACGCGTCCATCGCCGCCCCTGTCTGGCCCCGGCCAGTGGCCTGTCACTGATGCGGGCGCTGGGTCTGCCCGCAGTCTCAGCAGCGGTGCGGGTGGCAGATCTGAAACCACCTCTCAGACGGACCGATGTCTGACGTGTTGCGGCCGATGTCTTTTACCTCGTTGGGTAAAAGCGCGCCTCACGAGCTGCGGCGCCTCGCTGCACGAGCTGCGTGGCTGGTCAGGGGGCCGAACACGGATGAACAACTTTCTGTGAAAGTCCGTCAGCTGTAAGCATAGTACTCTCATTCCAGGACATGTTGCGTTTCTTTTTTCCCATCAATAATAATGT